AATCAGAGAGGACGGCATGACAGTGATGCAAACTTTGGCAAGCAAAGCTGACAGTGTGAGACGGTCACAGTTGTATATACAAAGCATTCACATTTCTCCTCACGAGAAAACATTCTTGCCTCAGCTGCTGTAGTCTAGCTTTCGTGCGCGCTGCTCTCAAGTTCTTGGGGTGTATAAAGGGACCCTTCTGGGCTCGGGGTCTACTGGCGGGTAGTGAGGAAGCAAGGATGGGAACATTGGGATTATCTTTGGGGGCTTAGGGGGTTATGTACAGGCTATTTGCGGCTATTGTAGGGGTCCGCTCCTCAACCCTAAACACCAAACCCTAAACTCTAAACCTTAAACCCAAAATCCTACACCCTAAGCCCGAAGCCCTAAACCCTAAACCTGCTAGCCACCAGTAAGACGCTTGGTCTGAAGAGCCTTCGGGCTTCCTGTGCCTTGGGGTTCATCGGTTTAAACCGCAACCTTTAGGTTTTTTGTGGTTTCATTGGTTATGGCAGCTATAACAACCATCAAGTTGCTTGGGATGCAGTGTAGAAGCTTACATAATTATCGCTATGACGGTCCAAGATTTCTCGCATACTTATGGTATAGGGTACCTCACAAAATCTCAGCATGACACTGGCAGTTCTTCCGCCGCCCCTACATTTCAATGCCAGCAAACCCCTGTAGAACCCAAGTTCCCGTTTCATTGTCCACACTCCTTTCAACCTGATTCTGCTTTGTTGGCAATGACTCCGGTCCCTAGGCCCTCAATACCCTGAGCCCCAAAGCCTTCATATCGCTGAATGACCTCCGTATGATTATTTAGGCCCCTCAATAGTGTTGCCTGGAGCTGCAGCCGTGGCCTGGAGACCCCAAAGCAAAAGCATGTGTCAAGAGAGGTCCCTCTTAAAGGAGCTATGGGGCTCAGTTCAGGCTTTAGGGGTTCACGTAATCCCCAAAATAGCCACCAGTAATGGCGAAGCTTGGAGAAACCTTCCTCAGGGACGGTTCGCAGGGAATGCAGGGAGGGGTCTCCATACTAGCCTCTATGAAATTGTAGTCTTTGATAGCCCATTCCTTCATTTCCTACCGACCCTAAACTCTAGACCGCCAGTAAAACATCTCAGCAACCCGGCCAAGCACAGGACAAAGTGCAGGATGACGTGCTGGAAGCGTTTGAGCGATGGCGTCGGTCAGCAGAGGGGGAGCCTCTCGATCCCCATGTAGGCTTGTTCTCTTTCCAAGATCGATTGAGTCTTTTTCGCACGGCTGAGAGCTTGATGGACCAATGCGCTTTTCCGCTGAATCCTTACGCTACCCTGCAACCTAGGCACCATGGGATCAAGTACCGCCTGAAGACCATGCTGTTCTCCAGGCAGCTAGCAGACTTGAATCGTTACCCCCTTTGTTTCAGCTCTGACAGCTCCATACCTTGCAGTTTCTGGCTTGCCCTATTTGTGGACGCTCTAAGTGTCACTGCATGTCACTGCGTACCACCGTGGTGGTGTCTTTTGGGATGGTGAAGATCACTGACTAAGTTGGTGCAGGCAACCAACGCGCGACCGTCCCCGCCTTTGTTGAACGGAGATTTGTCATGTGAGGGCTGATACTGCGTCACACCCCAGGACCCACAACCCTCCATGATTTCGGTTCGGATTGAGGCTTGACCACGGCTATCCGCAGAGGCATTCCGTCCACTCTGCGTGGCACGCTTTGGCTCCTCGTATCCTTAAGAAGGCCTTCAAGGAACCGCCAATGACAAATTTCGTTGAACCTCCCGAGAAGACGTGATGCCCCAGGTTTCTCTGTAGTGGTGGTTTGAGCAAGCGGCGGCAGAGTCCGAAATCTTACGAGGACTTGGCCCCTCGGAGGCATGCTATTTGCAGCTACTGCGGTGATAGATAAATGAGTACCTGGACCTCCCAAGTTGTCCTAATAACAGCCTACATACACATTTTTGGGCGGTTAAGGGCCATTATGATGGGTATTTCGGAGGTCCAGGCATTCTTGTAGGGTCGCATGTCGTAGGATGTTGTTGTCTAGCAGACCGGGCCAAGGTTCGCGAAGGGCACAGTGCAAAGAACACAGTGGCCGCCAGAACTATTGCCAACGACCTTCCCCGCACTGGATGTGAGGAGAACCTGATCTCACCCCTGGAGAATGTGCTTCTAGCTTATGCAGCCTCTTGTGCTATTCCAGTCATACTTCTGTTTAGGTTCCGGCATTTTTTTCGATGATCCGGAAGGTGCCCAGGAAGTTGCGTACGAACAGCTCCAATGACCATGGCATCAGTCCCAGCCAAGGTACGGAATCCCGTCATCGGGTACTGCCAATCCATGAACTTCATAGTGGCAACCTTTTTGCTGCTCCCTGGTTACACATGCAGTCGCAGTTATTTGCAGGCTGGTGTGATAGGCTGTGCTCTGTTGATGGCAGTTGTTGATGCCAAAAGTATAGGGTTTATGGTTTAGGGTTAGGGACATGGGCTTGACAACCTCAGGTACTGCAGCGAGGAGCATGCTTTCTGGACCCTGTGCCTGGAGCCTCCTTTGACAAGGGTTTTTCAATTCCGATATTCCTGAGAAGCTTGCGAACACATGAGTAATTATGGGATCCTATTATGCACCCCCCGCTCCCCCACCCCCAAAAATGAGGGCCAACTAAGCGTCAATCAGCCCGAATTAAGCCTTGTTTGGTTTTGCTCGGAGGGGGAGCACGGGGGGCCCTACAACCTAAACCCTAAACCGAAAGGTAGGATCCCATAAACTTACTAGTTCTTAGTAGGGAATAAAGGCAATCTAATCCATATATAATCCCAAAATAAGATATTCCCTTATTCCTTACTAACCCAAATCCCTAGACCCTATAGATCAATGTTCCCTGTTACCTGCTAACCCCCTCATTCAGGTGCAGCGTGATCGAAGAGATCATGCCGGAAGGCTACTACACGGACGACCTGAGTGGGCTACGCTCCGCCAGACGCCTAATTAGTCAGGTTTCCATGGGTTACTTGGAGTGTCATGTTGACTTAGCAAGTAGGTTAATAATGCGGATAATTTGGTGTATTACATGGCTTATAGGAATTATTAACTTACTTACTGCGTCCCCCTGAGCCTACAAGTATATAGCATGGGATTTATATAGGGTTTATAGAGGGTTTCTATGGGGTTGCGTATAGGGTTTACAGTGGGTTTATATCGGATTAATATAGGGTTCAAAGAGGGTTTCTATGGGGATAATAGAGGGTAAAGAAGGGTTTTGTCGGGTTTATATGGGGTTTATAAGGGGTCGGTAGGGTTCTAACCGATCTGATCCCAGCAATAGGGAATTGCAAATGGAAGGTAAGTCAGTGAGGCTTCCATGAGTTCCGGGTTTAGGGTTGTTCGGGTGCAGGGGAGTTCAGGGTTTAGGGTTTTAGGTTTAGGGTTCAGGGTTGAAGTTTTAGGGTGTAGGGTCCAGAAAAAAAACCTTGCATATTGACACGCTGTCTTGGTATCAGTTTGCTGTCAGGAGTCGAAGCTTGATGTCTCGCAGTCTGTACCATCAGTCCTGATCTGATCCACAGTCTAAACTCCTTAAAGGGGGTTATATAGGGGATTACTTAGGGGCCCTACTATAGGGGTTATTAAGGGGGATACTAGGAGTTTAGACTATAGCTCATCTAGTACTGGGTATAGTTGATTTAGCTTGGCCGTGCTTACCATCGTTTTGCGTCTCAAAATGTGACTACTACTTGACGCTGCCTTTGCTCATAGAAGCATTTGTTGCTGAGGATTTGCACGTTTTCAATTGGTGCATCGAGCAGTACCTGCCCCAGCTCTATCAGCACTTTTGCAGGACAGGTCGTTCGAATGACTCGGGTGGAAAGCTCAGAATTCTGCGGCCGTATGCCTCTCCGACCGCCTTCCATATTACGATGGCTTACACGAAATCATGGAGCGCTTAGCTTGATCTGCGAGGTTCTGATTGGGGTGGTGGGGGCGCTGGATTCTGTGACCCTACGTAGACCCTATATAAACCGTAAATAAACCTTACATCAATCCTATACAAGCCCTAGATAACCCATGCTGTGAGCTTCCGCGAAGAAGCAGTGCCTGCAGGAATGCCATCGATGCTGCTCCCATTTTCATGAACTGGTTTCTCTGCTTGTTTGCCGTGGCCTCAGCTGAAAAAGCATGCTGACCGAGTCGCTGAGCCGTTGCTTGTGCATGTTCTAGCTCTAGCCGTGCTGTCCTATCATGACTCTTTTTGTTTAGGGTTTGGGTTTAGGGTTAGGGTTTAGGGTTTAGGGTAGGTGGTGGTTGTAGCATTGGTAGTGTGATGTCGGCTTGTGTTCTACAGCTCCTCGTCTCCTCGTCACAGTATTGTCGCACTCCTCCTATTTCCGAGCACTGCTATTGGTTAGTGTAAACAATGATATGGTAGTTTCCCTAAATAGGTGGACCCCAATATAGACCCTACTATACTATAGTCCTTGTTATTGGGACCCCCCAAAAGGATGAGGAAGCTTAGCACCAGCTTTCTAAAGTTCTGATAGGAAGGAATATGGAAAGTACTACAGTATCTGGGGATTGGGGCTCAGGGTTCAGGGTGTAGGGTCTGGGTTTGGGGAGAAAAAAAGAATGGAGAATCTAATGGAACATCAAGCTGAAGATGAAATGGACTCTAGTGCGATATAGGGGTTATATATGGGGTCTATGGAGATATTACCCCAATGCCTTGCTCTTTGCAATATTAGGGGATCACAAGGTGCACGTTGTATGCCCTGTAATACTCCTACTGCCAATGGAGGAATTTGTTCACCGCCTCAGTTTCCCTGAATCCTGAGAAAGGGAATAGCCTGGGTGCCCGAAGTAGTGCAAGATACTGAATGATTTGTTCACTATTTCTGTTATTACCGGTATCACTATGATTATGATCGTCTATTATTATTGTTGTTCTACCTTTCATCTCGATTTGTTCCTAGTCTCAATAGTATTACTAGAAGCTTTGGTGCAATTTTTCTTTCCTAGTAAAGGAGGCAGTCTTATCACCGTTATCGCCATAATTCTTGCCTTTTCTTTTATCAGTTCTATCAAGAAAATACCGTAAACCCGAAACCCTAAACCCCTAAACCCTGAACTGAATAGGAATTGAAGGTCAACACCCTGCCTCCAGAACATGCGCATCGCGCTCTGGACTGTGCTCTGCATGAAGGGCACAAAGCGCTCTTCCGCATAGGACCTTTTGTCTGGGTTGCTGTTGGGGTTTAGGGTTTAGGGTTTCGTCCGGGTTGCTGTCAGGGTTTAGGGTTCCTATGTTATCCCCCTATGATGGAGAATCAAAAGGAAAAGAACATGGAACATGAAATGGAAACTGGGGGAATGTAGGCATTCAAGGAACTTCAAATAAGTTTCTACAATACGGAAACCCTTTTATTTACTATGTACCCATATTCTGGCAACTTGCTTTAACTTCCATAACAGCAACCCAGTCGTGTAGGGCTTACTTGCTGCTGCTGGTGATAAGGCATGAAGCAATAGAAACAAGCATGGAAATTCGTACATCAGGGATTGCACAGGGGCTACTATAGGGATCCATGGATCATACTGGTGTGCTTGCGGGGCAGCGCAGGGAGCAAAAATAAGTGCTACCAACGGGATCTACCCCGCCACTCGCCCCAAGGCAGCAGTAAGCTGGATGGTCAAAATGTCCCCTAAGGCAGGGTCCCCTTCGTCAACGTTGCGGTTGAAGGTTTCTGGCAAAAGCTCAGGGCTTGAAACCCTAAACCACAAACCGTATGCCATAATATGCCAGAGCCGGGGTCGTGGGGGGTGTGTGGGCTGGGTGGGTGATGGGTTTGCAGGGGAGGGGCGCTTGTAGGTTGAATTGAGGGCCCGGGGGCTAGGGCTTTGGGCTCCAGGGTAAGACTCAAGGTACTGCTCTTTCAGCAGCGTCGTCCATATACAAGCTCCTCTATACTCTGCATGTCTACTTAAATTTTAAGAACGTCCATTAAACTGCATATCGGCTCTAAACCATAGGATAGCCCATGCCCCCTAGAGCCGACATCCCCCATGATATGATATTGAGGTCTGTTTTAGGTGCTCTATACCATGCTTATATAGGATGCCCAGGGCCATAATATTGGTAATCCCCATGTATAGTCCCCCTTAAGTAGATAGAATATGGGGTATATGGGGATCTTATTACGATATTGGGGACTTCCATATTGTATCTTCTCAGGGGAAACCGTAAACCCTAAACCGTAATCCCGCCCTACATTGCAGGACTGGCGATTCTGGCCCTTCGGCAGAAGGAGCTCCTGGGCACTAGCAATGTGGTTGAGGCCGACTCGTGCCAGGAGTTCAAGGATTGTGTGGCCTTTGGGTTTTGGTTTTAGGGTTATAGTCCCCCTTAAGTAGATAGAATATGAGGTATCTTAGTATAATATACCCAAAGCCATATTCTATCTACTTAAGATTATATCAGTTAAGAAGCTGTCTGGTTACATTCCCCTGTCATCATTATCATTATCATCAACACTGTCATGATCATGATGACCTTGATGACTAAGGTTTGCTGTTGCAAATTCTGGCAGGCCCAGGACTCTAGTATGGTTTTAACTCAGGTTTGCTGGCGCCTACGACAGTCCCCATGGCACATCATGTGCCGAACATTTAACTATTATTGAAAGTCGTAGCCGAAGTCTCTTGCACAAGTAAGTGCCCACAGCATGTTTGCACATGACAGGTCCCAAATTCATATACTGCACCTTAGCCCCCCCCCCCTTCTCACAGCAAATATGCTCCGCACTGTACAATGGCATCATCTTTTATCCCTTCTCCAGGGGTGGGGGAGCTCGTACGAAGGGGGCGGGGATTCATCCTCCGACATTCAGTTCCATAGACTTTGGGTCATTCCCCCTCCCAGTAACTGTCCTTAAAGGGGCCTTGTTAAGGGGGTTCTCATAACTCCTATAACCCATTGTGGTAACAGGTAAGGGGGAATGACCCCACATAGACTAAGTTCACTTGGGCAGGCCTATGCCTTTCTTCGCCAGCCCTTCGGAGAGGATCTCCAGGTGGGAAAACTGAGGGGCCTTTCTTGGGTTTAGGGTTTAGGGTTTCGCTAGAAGCAAGATGTTACGTAGTATTTGGGGTTTATATTGGGTTCCAGTTCCCCTCTTTGTTTTTATGGAAGCTACCATGTGAGCCATAGTCTTAACTCCTAGTATCCCCCTTAGCAACCCCTATAGTAGTCCCTTATATTACCCCGTTTAAGGAGTTTAGACTATGGCTCATGTGGCTTTTATGTTTCAACCTCAAGCCCTTAAATCCTGAACGCTTCGGCAGCTTCCGAGGTGCCCAGCGATGTTTTGAGCTTTGTGGACATCTCGCCTCCTGGTTGTCCTTAAGAAGTTGAGGTATAGGGTTTTGGGTTTGAGCCTTCCACATGCAGTAAGAACAGTAATGATAATAGTAATAGTAATAATAACAGTAATTTTGAAAGAGCCATGTTATCCATCAGGAATCAACTTACTCTGTTGATTCTCAAAGACGAGCCAACACTGTACAGGGAGCTATAAACCGCGTTCGCTTGCAATGATTCATCACTATGATGATGGTTATTCCTTTTTCCATCAGTATTAGTATTCTAATTATGGTGATTTTCATCATTGCTACTGTTATGTCCATTGTTTTATCACTATTATTGCTATACCTGGTATTATTGTTACTATTCTTCTTATCTTTTTCTTCCAGGTCTAAGCAGATGCTGGACGCTGCATATGGCCCGCTGTTCAAGAACTTCAGGCATCTTAGCATGAAACGATGACACCGGCCCTGCCAGCAGGGAGGGTTGAGGGTTAGGGTTTAACGTTTTACGTTTCAGGGTTTAGGGCCTGTTTAGGGACTCTTTGTATCGTTGGAGTATATCATACCCCAAACCCTTCTTTATATGTTTTAGGCACCTCCGTTAGATGTCTCCCTGCTCGGCTCGTCCCTGTGCGCGCAAAAAAGAACCAATAGGCACATTGTCCGCATTGTGGACATTGTGTGCATGGTTGCTGCGCAGGCGTACTTAGCAATGTCATCCACTAAGGGAGATACATTCTCAACATAGCAGTTGCTATGAATGTGGAGGCTTCTAGGGTTATTCATACAAAGCAGGCCCCATTGTGTTGTTGCCCCAAAAGGGCAACGCTGATTTTCACCGGCACCTGCTGCGCCTGTTAGAGACCCCCCTCTCCCCCAAACACAACAGGATACTTGTTACTTTTAAGCGTTGAAGCCAAACCCATAGCTTCATAAAATTGCTCTAACATGGGAGTTTCTCAAAGTTGTCCCTATAGAGGACCTCTCTAGTATAATCCCCATATATCTCTAAGGCAGCTGTTTTGAGAAACCCCTATCTGTCCATGCGACTCCGAACAGGACTTCTGATTTTGAAATCTGATTGTGGGCACGAACCCGGCATAGCACAAAGCTATTTTAACAGGCGCTGTGCACAAAAGAGCATCTTAGAGGGGATGCAAACTGACTGCAACTTCCGTACGTGCCTTGTATTCTTTCTACGACAAAGAGCACTCGGGCGCTGTATCCTGACGTCCTGACGTTGGAACGGGCTCCGAACAGCGAAGCTTCTGGGTCCCAAATGAGAGCAGAGTAATCTGGCTGGAGCGACGACTCAAACTTAGGGGAAACCTTATTCTGAACCATTTTGAGCCTAGCGCAGGGAGCTTGCAACTTGCAGGAAGCATAGCAAATCTGGATATTTCTCCAAACCATCCCAGTATCATCATGTACAAAGGGCCCCCCCATAATCCGCCGAATGCTCTAAAAATACCCCGGGCTCGTCTCGAGAAACTCCAACTCGTGACTTAACCCTAAGTGGTAGTTACCATTGTCTGTTCCATTAATTATCCCTATGCATTCCTATATAAACCTTAAACCTTATATGAGCTACAGTCTA